ACTGTAATATATCGATGCAAAGCTTATTTTATGCACTTTTGCTTTATGTGATTGAATTATAACATGGCTTGCATTTTTCGCATGTTTTAAAGGTTTAAAGAGTTTCATATATCAAAACAACGGAGCAAACAGCTTAAAACATTAATAGGGTACTAGGGTGTGGAAGTGTTAATGAACGCACAACGCAGTGATAGTTTGAAAATTTTCGTCGTAACGAGTTCAACATTAAGGATCAGGATGACATTGGACGTCTTCCTACCATTGACGGTAACAAGAATGCTTCAATGAAAAATACATGCAGAATACATGAATATAAATATATGCACACTTGGCACTTGACACTTGAATGGCTCGTCCTCACTTCTTGTACAGGTCCCAGCATAATCTCCATTTTTTTTGGAGGTTTGCTGGTTAAACCATTATGATTCTCTGGAATCCCGAGATCAGCCTGGCCGAAGTCTGCCTCAGGTCTTCACCACCACAGTCAATCGCAGCCCTTGTGGATCAGAGGGAGATTTGCCACTATGCGACTTTGATACCAGGGCGGTGGTGGATCTTGGTATTGGTTTACTCTTAGCTAGGCTTCCTGATGGAACCGCCAAACTCCTTCTCAGCTTGGGAGACCCTTCCAGGGGATGAATCCTCCGCTGTACATCGCAGTCCGACACCAAGGAACACCTCCAAGCCACGGTGAGGCCGTAAATCATTAGGAGGAATATATGCAGAACTGTTCGAAAAATTGCAGAAGAGCTCGATGTAACCTCAGCTGTTTTGGAGCATCTACAGAAATTTGGAATGTTTTAAAAGCTTGATGAATCGATGCCTTACGAATCCTATGATTATTCTTCACGAAAAGTCGCAACCACACGCTGCCACCAGCGACGCTATAGCGATGGAAAGAGCTGGACTCCCAAATTCTTTCTACTCCACCATAGTCGTAAGACCTGTCGCTCTCATTGTCTACCACTTCTTCAGATATCTCGATAAACTCGTCTGCAAAAAGTGTCCGGACTTAGTTGAACTTCTTGAGCATCATCTCTTCATCGTTGGTAGGTACTTCTCCAAAATGCCAAGATGTTGTCGGCAAAGCTAAGCTTTGAAAGTAATTTCACATTAATGCATATGCCTTTTTCTTCCCTTCTTCTTTATCCACTGAAATCTGACGATGATAGCTACTGTAGGAAATTGCCGTTTGAACGGACAACTTTCTCAATGAGGATGAATAAGGAGTCGATAGAAGAAGTGGTATTTTCTCTGGATTATTCCACTCGTTCATTAGCTGATGAGCCATGGTAGAGTAGCCTTGAAATTAGAACAAAGTGAAATGCAAAAGGAAAACAGTCGATGGTGATTTATGCTATCAAATATTGCCTAGGCTTTATGTGCATACAACTGTAAACAGTAATGTATTCGCATAGACATTTGGATAGAACGCGGAGAAAAGCTAAACAATTTTTTAAATAAAGAATATCAATATGTTCAGGTTCGGTAGACAAATGCAAGCATGGCAGGTGAGTGTACATTTTAAGCGATCTTCTTTGGCATTTCCGATTTATTTGTTTCACAACTGATCTTACTCTGTTAACTTTTTTATTTACTGCCTATTATAATTTTTCACGGCAGGTTATTATCTGTGATATGGTGAGCTGCCCTTGATAGTCAAGGAGTCCCTACTCAGTACATAAAGATTCTTCGTGAGCTATAGAAAAAATTTCACAGCCAATATATCACTATTCTACAACGATATTAACAATGACGTCAAAAGAGGAGTTAGACAAGGCGATACCATCTCGCCAAAATTATTTACCGCCACCCTCCAGAACGTCATGCGAACATTGGAATGAAATAATGTGGGAGTGAAAATCGACGCTCGGCAGGTACACCATCTTCGCTTTGCTGATGACATTATCCGCATGACACCAAACATTAGCTAAGGGAAACGCATGCTTGACGACTTTGATAAAGTCTGTGGAAAGATTGGTCTTCGACTAAATCTCACAAAAACGATGTTCATAAAGAACGGATTGGTTTTGCATGCCCCATTCACGCTCAACGGAACGAATATCTCCGAATACTCCAGTTGTATCTATCTAGGTCGGGAAATCAATGTAATGAACGACCTAGTTCCAAAGCTGAGCAGAAGCAAACGAGCGGCTTTGGGAAGCTTTCAAGAGCATCGAGGATGTAGTGAAGAGAACAAAGAACACCCGACTCCGTGCCCACCTTTTCGACTCAACGGTACTTCCTGCCCTGCCCTAATGTATGCGTCAGAAATTTGGTCGCTGCGTAAGCAGAATGAAAGGTCACTCAGCGTTATCGAACGCGCAGTCGAAAGAACGATGCTAGGAGTATCCCGTTTCACACAAGTAAGGGTTGGGATCCGAAGCTCCGATCTGCGTCAACGATCAAAAATCAAAGATGCCGTTCTGTACGCCAAACAGTCGAAGATAAGGTGGACCGGACACGTAATGCGTATGAATGACAACCGATGGACAAGAGCCGTTAGTGACTGGATTCCTCAGGATGTCAAACGTGCTGCTGGAAGATTACCGACCCGATGGTCATAGTTCTTCACAAAGAGCCTTGAAGAAAGATATAATGCTCGACGAGCCTCTAGAGCGAGCACAACCCACTGGGCTACTATTGCACGCGGCAGGGAAAAATGGAAGATTTACTGGCGTCCGCTCGAGTCACTCGGCGATCAACGGGATTACAGGTGATATAGGTGACAGGTGATGGTGAGCTGCCGTGAAAAATTGTAATAGGCAGTAACTAAAGAAGTTAACATTGTGATTTCAATTACAACCTCAGCTTAACCGGACTTATTGCCGATTGGGGTTCCCTAGATCAATCCCATTGAAGGGCGATGGCTGATAGCACTGATCGATAGAACTAATTGAGAGAGAGACGAAACAAAGATCCCGCACGGTGTGGTGGTGAGTGCGTTATCTCGCGGGGAAGGTAGTGGTAGGTAAGGTAGGAAGCGCGTTCGTTCCACACTGCAGGCACCTGCGGTCCCAAGTTTTGCATATATCTCAGCATCATTGTGGCTGATCTTATTGTATTCAATTTCGTTTAAATTTGAGCAATTTAAGATAGTTTGGCAAAAGTAAGAAGACAGAGTTACCAAAATCGACCACTCTTCGATGATTTATTGTTGTACTTATGCTGTCGTCATAAATTTTCTATAATTGTTAGAGATAAGACCTATAATATCTTATCGCTTATTCTTAGGCAATTTCCCTATGCGTCCATGGGTGGAGGAATTTCTTAAAGTTCTTGATTAATTTTTTTCCTTTTTCATTGATTCTAATACATTCCTAGAAAGGAAATTACGATGTTGTCTGATTTCACTGTACTTTCTTCGTCATGGTAAATGAATTTTTTTATTCCTTGGAAAACCTTTCCTTTTTTCAGAAAACGATACTAGCACTGACATCATTCGTATTTCTAACTCTTCTTGGATTTCTTCAATACCTTATTATCGAGAAATTTGCCATATTCACTCCAACGCTTGGTAAATTTTATTTCTATGATGCAGCTGTTTTTTGTTTTCGAAAGCAATCATTTGTTTCAATTAAGATAAGACAATTTCTTGTAAGCATTGGCGTAAAACAAAGTGGCACATGTGGCGCAGTGTTCTTAGGCGCCCTGCAACACACACGTGGAATCGATCCCCGCGCCCATTGCCCACCAAACCTTCCATCTCTCCAGGTCGGCAAATTGGCACCAGACTTGGGAGGATAGCAGCACTACATCGGCAGGCGACCGATCACCTCCAAACGATGTTTAATGAAGTCGAATGAACGGCGCATCCCTCAGGGATCAACGCCGAGAGCTTTATCCTTTTACTCTTTATTAGTGCAAAATTAAGGTTTTCGATACCGTTATTTCAACGACTAATAGAAATAGAAATGTCACTGTCATAAAATTTTCCATGAAACTTCAAATGCTCACCGTATTTCATTTAAATTTTAATTTTCCATTCTTGCAACATCAAAAATGGATCATTTTCGTATGTAGAGGGCAGAAGAACCTTATAGTAATGACAGCCTTACTTTGCCGCTCTAGGTTTTCCCATTCGAATTCTTTGCTTTTTTATAAAGTATTTTGTGCTCTTAACATTTATTTGTCTTTGCAGCAGGTATTGGAGTATTTTTGAAAAGAAGAAATTCAGATTTACAGCTAAATAATGTATATATCGATCTTAAGAACCGTAAGCTTCATGGATTATTAATGGGAAAGTGTGCTCTCTATTTATTTCAAAAAGTGGAAAAAGAAATATCGTAAGACGAAAAGCAAATGAGTATTAGAGACGTGTTGAGATTCGATAATCATTTGTATTGTGTAAAATGATGGGTACATTTATTCTATTTTTTCATTAATAAGCTAATACGAGGTTGGTAAATGACTTTACTCTCCTAACGTTTCGACGTCTACATCTTCGTCAGAGCCATTGATCCGAGCCGATGCCTGCAGTACCCGTCCCGACTCGGATTATCGGCTCTGTGGATGGGGAACGCGTCGAAACTTTAGCCGAATAAAGTTGTTCATAGTCCTCGTGTTAGCTTATCAGCGAAAGAATACATGTTGACTAGTCATACCGTGGTTAAAGGAGAGTCGTTTTTTGAAATCATGGATACAGTTTTAAGTGCACAGTAAATTTGTCTTATGATGTTACGTTGATTAAGAACGCTTTTAACCATTTAACGATGAAGTTGGTTTTTCTATAATTGACAATAATTTCTCGATCATGAAGGACATTTTAAGAGTAGAGAACTGCTTAGGTTTATAGAAGACACTTTATCGCATTAGTTCCATATATAAGTTTCTTATTCTGGCCATTCAGATGGACAATATGTTCAGATTGAGAATTTTTAGAATGCTGGGGATGGAAATTAAACTTTCGAATTTCCAACACAGCTAGAGCAACTGCAAACGTAGCTAGCATGTTGTTTTAGAAAGCAGTAACTTGTACTGGTCTTATAGGTCATGCGATTTTATTTCTATGTGAAATAGCGTCATTCATTCTCTTCATTCCTGCTTTGTTTAAGGAAAAGAGCACATTGATGTTACCATTCATCATTACACAGGTTAGTCTGGATTTTGTAAGGTGTGAAATAAGAGAGAAAGTTCTAACTTACTACTTTTATTTTTCATACAATCTTGACTTAAATCTTTTCTGTAGTACTGTGAATTCTTGTCGATTTTTACAACGATACAAAATTTAGAAACAGTTGGATAAGCTTTTCGTTAGTTTGTTTAAAGTGGTGTAAAATATGATTTCTGTCTAGCTTAAACATATCAAACACGTGATTGTACGCATTGATTTAAATGCGTATTCCTTCAGGGTGTTTATCTTGTTGTAAGCAGTCTACTTGCTATGCTTTTTGTATTCATTCGATAGTCTATCCAACCTAAATGATGATTTTTGAGCTGTTCTGTTATGTACGGTTAATACTTTTTCTAAAATCGTTTTTTGAACAAGTTTTCCAATGAACACTACGAACGGCGGAGAGCTCGGTCTAGTGGCAGGCGTCGACTGCACAAAATCGGGAGTGGTAGAATTCGTGTTAAGAATATTATGTTATTATCATCACTATTTCTATTTATTATTATTATTGTTATCGTTGGGGTGAGTGTAGCGCAATTGTCGGAAGCGCCGTGCGATAATGATGGAATCGATCCCCGCGCCCCAGGCTCACCAAGCCTTTCATCACTCCAAAGTAGGGAAATTGGTACCAAATTTGTCTGGAAGGATCGCAGCACTGGCTCGATACATCGGTAGGGCACCACGAGTCATTATATAGGCCGAATATGTATTCAGTCACCTCCAACGGTGCTTAATGAAGTCGGATTCATGGCACATCCCTCAGGGATTGATCGACGTCGAGAGCTTTATTCTTTTTTATCGTTGCTTATTTCTTATTTATTATTATTACGAGTCTCATAATATTATTTTAATATTATTTTAGGTAATACGAATGGTTGCATTGCTCGTAGTAATTTTATACTATGTGGTGAAGTTGTTCGTGGTGGAATCGAATTCACGCCCTCAATACAGCGTTCCTGCTCTTGAATACGATTCCACACATAAAAGCGGTAATTGTCTTTATATCACACTAGAACTTTACAACAAACAAATCAGTTGTCACAGAATCAACTATGCAGCTTTTTCCTAGTTTCTAAGAAGGAATCGATTTTCTTTTTTTCCCATGACCGACTTTCTTTTAACTTCGGCATTGATTGATAATTCGATGTTTTAGTGTTACAGGCTGAGTTTGTAAACGTTTTTTCTCGGTCGCTGAAGAAGTTAACTAAACAAATGCATCGAGTCCTAGCAGTTGTTCACTTGAATGATCTTATAAGCCTTAAAATGCCTTCGAAAAAGAAAAGAAAAAAAGCCCACTACCATGCTTGTTTCATCGATTTCAGGACTACGAATGCTGTTTTAATTCATTTAACTCAGCGCTTTTTTTTTTAGCTATTTTTCTCTCTAAACTTATTGGACATGTGGTATTTTTGTTTCTTGGCCACGTTTTTCTGCTATACGTAGCATGGAGTTGTTTCATAGTAAGTCATCACTGAGTTGTTAACTTTCTGCGATTATTCTTCTCGTTTTCTTTTCACATTCTTGCTTATTCTTTCATTTCAAGCTTTGTCGTCAGTCATCGAATCGAACTACCAACAAGGATTATCATGTTGCATGTCCTATTCATAACGTTATCGTCTTGGAACAACCGATCGAACAAGCCATGTATGGCAAAAAGAACTGAAAGCTGTCTGGATACATTTGGAAGCTTATGAATAGCGCATAAATCCATACTGCCTCAGAAATGAGGTCTACGACTAGAGTTCCATCCAAGTAGCGTATTAAGATGCTTTTATATCTTTTTTTTGTGTTCTTCTTGCGGGTTGCTTTTGCACATAATGAGACAATTTTTACATACGTCATGATGATATCCTCTTCAGTGAATTTATATTTGTTTTCCCTATGAAAATTATTATAGTGAGTAAAGTTTCGTAGATAAATTTACGATCTCTTTGTTATGTGCTTGATTTCATTTACAATAGTGTACAAGGTTTTTGTTAATGCATGAGCTTTCTTATGTCGCACAAGAATGCTTGTTGATTAAATCGTGGTGCTAATCAATAAAGTGGACATTGTGATATTGGTAATCGTCTAAACATCGGTGGTATACGGTGAAATTAAAGACGGCTGATCAAATTCTATACATATCACTTAAGTTATGATACTCGAAATGTCATTCTAATTGATTGTCAGAGGTAAAGAAATGAAAGAGAATAATTCGAGGGAAGCTTTAGTTGCAGCATTTAGATTTACGCTTTATTGATTATTGTAGTTATCGAATTCGTTTAGTGAAGACCTGCTTGGAGAAAAAGCTTGCAAAAATACGCTTTGAATAGATGAAATTAGTGAAATAACTACGAAATCCTACTCAAGGAAAGGATTGAGCACTATCCAGAGGTTCACTTACTCTTAAACATGTAGACTTCCTATGACAAAATGGAACACCTTCTAGTAGGGTTCCCTCTAAGGTTGCAATGATGACCCGAACTTCAGTGGTCAACAATGGCCAACGGTTTGAAGAGAACGCGACATACAAATTTCGTACTTCATTTTTTGACATGCAATTTTTTTGACATGCAATTCTGTTTTGAACTATCGTGTAGAGGTAGCCGGTGGTAGCGATGACAATTCTTTTAATTCAGTTAGTTTTTTTTGTTAGTGTTTCGGTTACTGTACTGCTTTCTTACCACAGCAACATATTAATCCCGCAGACGATTCATGAATAGGTCAACAGTTGATATTAAAATTTACTGTGTACTGCTGACTTCTGTACCAGGTGTGAATGTGGCCAATGTTTTCATTACAATTGAGTATCATTCAAGAACGTTCACGTTTATGAGTAGAGGATGATGAATGCCTAACAATGTTTTAATTCTCATTTGTCGTGGTGGATAGCACGTTGTTCCCCGAAAACAGTAATCATTGGTTCGAAGCCCAACTGAGATTCTCGATTTTGCTTATATCTCAGTATGCCCAACGATCATGTCCTCACAACTTCTTAAAATATCGCAAGAATGCTACTGGATCATTGAGGAAAGACTGATGATGAATTGCATTAGTTTGATGGACTTATATCAAATAAGTTATGTTAAGAATTATGGCCACAATAGTTCACAATGTAGAAATAGTAGAAAAAAAAACCTTTATAGCTGCTATTATTAAAGATCAGGCTTCATTATTTATGCTAATATGGTTTAAAAAGTCTACGTAATTCAGCTTAAGAAGAGAATCTTAACTATGATAGCTATACATCAATCAGTTCACAGAACTCCACTCTATGACTTCACCATCGAAGGTGTTGTATTTCAGTGCTATCCAGTGCGGTGGCCAGAAATCAGTAGGTACGAGTTGCGTTTCAATGCCATGTTCTCGTGTAAAATCATAATTGTAGTAGACTCTCTGTCCACGAGAAAGATATCCAATCCAGTAGCCAAATGTTGACACCGATGCTAAATTGTTACAATGTAGATAATCAAATTTCTATGCAATTTTCACTTTGTAACAAAGCTAAAAAAGTTTTCGCTTACTGAACGTCGTTTCTGAACAGTTCTAGATATTAGCAAGAACTGTATAAATGATTAATATATAGGCATATTCTTAGAGCGAAAAAGCAAATATTTTTCCATTTTATTTTATCTGATCCTAGCACTTCTCACACCTAACGCGTTCCCTGGCATCCATCATCTACGAAAGCCTTCCAAGTTTTTACGTGTGCTTTCGGTTGCTGTTTGAGGATTTTTCGTTTCATCTTGAATGTCGTATAATGCTGGTCAAGTAATTCCCCCTGGAGTCCTGAGATAGCCGGCCTGGAGCATTCCCGATTGGATTGCAGAGAGTGATTTTTTCCCAGACAAGTCCGGTACCAAAACAAATATTAGACCATATTAGACCAATATAGACCAATATAACCATAAAACTTTCCGTTAGTGATAAGGGTGGAGAGTTTGTCGTAATTCTAATTCCTCATCAGTTGGATGTGGAGATAACGAAAAAGCATCTTGAAGATGCTTCGCTTTATCACCCATCATCTGAGGAGGAATTCAAAAGTAAATACCGAAAACTAAACCACGAATGGGCCAAAGTGGCAAGGGCTGCTGGTTTGAAACCATCAGTTATCTCTCAACTTAAAGATGCCTTACCAACATGCCCCGTCTTGTACTTACTTATAAAAACTCATAAGTTAGTATCCAGCGATGATCTTGCGTCTACCGATCCATCACTATTTAAGGCTAGACCTATTATTAGCTGTGTAGACGGGCCAACGGACAGGATAACATGGTTTTTAACCCTAATATTTAACCAGTTGTTGAAACACATTCCAGCCCATCTTACGAATACCCAGATGTTTCTGGATCGTCTACGTACTGCGCAGCCCAACAGCGCGTGCGTGATGGAGTCCTTCGACGTTACCGCCCTTTATACAAACATGTCGAATGACTCCGCAATGCAAGCCATATTCGAACTCCTTACACAACACGAAGGAGAAATAAACATGTATGGCTTCAGGATAGAGCACCTGATGGCACTCTTAAAAGAATGCTTGAGCTGCTCAATCTTCAGATGGTCTGGAAAGTACTACGCTCAAATAAGAGGGTTGGCAATGGGACAACGACTGGCTCCAAGCCTTGCCATTGCATTTATGTCTAAGGTGGAAGCACCGGTGACTGATCTCGGGCCGCTACTCTACTGTAGGTATGTAGACGACTGCTTTGTCCTTTGCTCAACACAAGAGGAAATGGACAAATGCTTCGAATTGTTAAACGCACAGTCAGAGTATATCAAGTTCACCCGAGAAAAGCCGAAAGAAAANTGTCGAATGACTCCGCAATGCAAGCCATATTCGAACTCCTTACACAACACGAAGGAGAAATAAACATGTATGGCTTCAGGATAGAGCACCTGATGGCACTCTTAAAAGAATGCTTGAGCTGCTCAATCTTCAGATGGTCTGGAAAGTACTACGCTCAAATAAGAGGGTTGGCAATGGGACAACGACTGGCTCCAAGCCTTGCCATTGCATTTATGTCTAAGGTGGAAGCACCGGTGAATGATCTCGGGCCGCTACTCTACTGTAGGTATGTAGACGACTGCTTTGTCCTTTGCTCAACACAAGAGGAAATGGACAAATGCTTCGAATTGTTAAACGCACAGTCAGAGTATATCAAGTTCACCCGAGAAAAGCCGAAAGAAAAATGGCTTCCATTTTTGAACGTACAAATTCACCTATCAGAAAATGGCTACATTACAAAGTGGTACCGAAAGCCAAGTAGTAAAAACATCTTGGTTCATTACCTCTCCTCTCACCCCTCTCACACGAAAAGGGCGCTTATAAGAAACATGTTTCGAACAGCAACCAACGTGTGCACGGGAAGAGAGCAGAGAGAGGAGTCCCGGAACTTGGCACGACAAATAACCGTTTCTAATGGCTACGAAACCATAGCTCAGAATAGGTGTAGAGGAAATCGTAGGCCTCCAAACGACAACTCTAGCGATAGAAGGGTCCCGTTTATCCTACCCTTCATCTCAAATGATATAAGTACAGCTATAAAACGCTGCTTAAGAAGGGCGGGCTTAGAGAATTCGGTGAGCGTAGTTGAAATACCACCGAGTAATCTTAAGCGCCAGCTAGTTCGTAACCGCCTATATGACCGTCTATGTGCAACTCAAAGTGGTAGAGACGGTGATTGCATGAGCTCGGGTATAGTTTATCTGATCTCCTGTAAGACGTGTGGTGACGAATACATTGGCGAAACGGGTAGACCCCTCTGTGTCCGCATGAAAGAACACCTAGCCGGCAAAAATAGACCAAATACCCCGTTAGGCACGCATAGGACCCAGAGACATAACGGGGACGACTTCGAAGTATGTGTCACGATCCTCGCACGCGAATCAAGAACACAGGCGCGAAAAACTCTCGAGGCACTCTGGATTAATTCCAGAAATCCGAAAATGAACCGCAGGGAAGAATGCCTCATTATCACGCGTGAGATAGGGCAGTATATAAAACTGCTTTTCTGATGAGTGGGGCACATTATACTTCCATGTGATTTCTGTGCGGTTGGTCTCTACATGACATACTTAGTGGAAACCTCATAGAAAGCGGTGAGTGTGCAAAGCTGTGTTCAAAGTGATTGAAATCTTGGTTTGGGGTTTCTTTGTTTAGTTATGGAGGCGTCTGGCCGAGTAAGTTGCTATCAACTTGACCTTTCCAGGCTCTGAAGAAGGAGAAATTCGCCGAAACGTCAGCTTAATCGTGAACAAAGAATAGTAACACCTCGCGTTTGCTCAACAAAAATTCGAAACAAATATTAGAATCGATAATGTTACTTATTCGATTCCATTGCAGTATTAGAATTACCGGATGCATGCAATGCAGTGGTTGGAGGCGCCCGGCAATACACATGGGATGGAACCTTGGGCCTCGCCTCAGACTCACCAAGCCTTCCCTAGTTGAAAAATCATCACGCATCTACCCGTGGGATTACAAGTGTAGATTAGCCAAAAGACTGCACATCATGATCGCATCATTCCTTTCCTTTAATATGAAAGACGGTCTTATTTAAGAAATCAGCCCAATGTAAATGAGTAAGAGGAATATTATCGATATAGTGTAGTCATGATCTAATCCACATCCAATTAACTTTGCGAAAAAAAAAACATCTAGAGGTTTAAAAATATCAATAGATCTGTATTTGTTACAGATTCTACTATATTATATGGAGCTTGTATCGTAGTAATAGTGGTGCGGTTCACCGACGGCAAAAGCATGGTTCAACTCAGCTTTGGTGCTTACAGGCCTCCTATGCAACCGGAGTAAGGATATTGCTTAAGAAACTAGTCCGGAATCATCTAACTCCCTTCAATCCAAGAAAGTTGGCCACTATTTGTGATGAGAACCGTGGAGGGACTATCCGAGGATTTCAGAGAGAATCGACTCAACCAGCATTCAATGGCATTTATAAAGAAGATAAAGAAATTCTTAAGCAACAGCCGAGCCCATAAACAAAAAGTTCGAAGACCTTCGTAGGTAATAGATGGGAAGAAAGGAATTGAATTCAATATGTGTAGTATACGCGGAGACGGATCATGTGAAAGATATATATATATATATATATATATTTAGTGAACAACTTACCTGTTAGAATAACTCGGTCACAGAATTGACGACTAAACTCCCATTCTATGGTCGGAGGTCGATAATCTAGTGATGATACTTGGAGCCGATGATGATTTCTAAACACCTTCATCGCCCATTCAGGATCGTCAGACATCACAAATGTATACGGTAAGCGAGAATCCTCCTCACGAGCTGAAATAATTTTGAGATGACAATGAGATAAAAGATGGTCGTATTTACAGTTCAAACGTGTTTATAATCGCAGTTTGAAAGGATAGCCTAAAAAAACACAGGTCAATAGAACTAAGAATATTATGACAAGAACTGATTCATTTTATTAGAAACACAGGAGGCGGGGACACGCAGTGGTCATAGGTGCCTCGCGATACACAAGTGGTCCTTGGTTCGATACTAGGCGGTAGGCTCACTAAGTTTTCTATCCCTACAGGATCGACAAGTTGGAACGACAGTTTTCTGGGGAGCAAATCAGTACTAACTTGGTAAGTCACCACAAGTCATTGTGCAGGCGAGGTACGCATTCAATCACCTCTAACGGTGCATAATGGAGTCCAATCCATGGTGATGCATCTCTTAGGAAATCATCAACGCCGGATGCTCTATCCTTAATTATGCTTCAGAAACATTTAGTTCTTTTCGAAAGCACTCAGAACGATAACCAGCTAAGAGGTAATGGAAGTTTGCGGTTCGAAAGGTCACTTAAAACTGCTATATTTGAGTTCTTCTTATGTTGTTCTTGTCAACGATATCGTATCTACCAGTAAAATCTCTTCGCAGTTCGTTACTACTTTTCTTAAAGTAAGCTTGAAATACACGCGAGACATCCCATCGCAAAACGTCTACTACTTGGAGGTTTCACGTGTAGTAGTACACTTAGGCTCCCACTGCCCTCAAAGAAATCGATGGTTTCACTATAAAGTATCAAGCCAGCGGTTCTTATCCTTCTAAGCGAGTCTGCTATTAATTTTCCGGCCCAAAAAAAACGGAATGCTATGCCTGGAGGAAGGAATCGAATCGCTGACCACGTATCTTTTGTAGAGAGCTTCTAAGTATTGAGTTTCACATGCCAATAATGCATAAAAACCATTCGAGAGACAATCCCAAAACTTTTAAAGCTTCTTCAAGTTTGTCGGATATTTGATGTGGATTTTTAGCCCCTTAACCAACCGACCTTTATCGTGCACGTATTTCACTGCTGCACTAGTGAACTTGTCATCCGATGCTAAGGATTCTGTTGAATTCGTCATATCACCGCGTCGAATATGAATACAGACACTGAAAAGCATCGATTAAATCCATTAGAGGAAAGTGGAATTTGTCCTGTAAGGAAGTTCTATCGAGTTGCAAAGTATATTTATATAAAAAGCAAATAACTGTCGTTAAAGAGGAGACATACTTTAATGCATTCCTTTTTGGTTGGATCTTAAATAAAGTGTCGAGAGAATTATGAACACGTTCGGATGCTGTGAAAAAGCGACGAATCACATCGGAGCTGAGATTGTCGAAGAATTTATAGCTCTGAAGTCATTCAACCATAATCATGCGGAAGCTATACAGAAATAAAAAAAAGTGCTACAGCATTGATCTAGTAGAAATAAGTAAAGGTAGGATGAAAACTAATCATCAACGAAACTTCATTTATCTCATAGCGTCATCATTTTTTCATCTTCTGTCTAATTATTCCTCTTGTAGTAACGATAAAATCAACGCTCATCTTTTATTGAAATATTAGCGGGAAAAGCATGAACTCAACTCGTCTATAATACAAGTTAGTGAGAATTTCTACTTCCTTACATAAAGCTCAATTTCAACTATTCATATGCTTGCCATTTCACTGAACTACCAGCCCAATCACATAACAATTTTCACTGGTATAGCATTTTTGCACAGCGAGTTGAGTTCATGCTTTCCCCGCTAATATCGCAATAAAAGATGAACGTTGATTTTGTCGTTACTACGTGAAGAATGATTAGACAGAAGATGAAAAAATGATGATGCTATGAGATAAATGAAGTTTCGTTGATAATTAGTTTTCATTCTACTAATAGCTCTACTTATTTCTACTAGAATAAATGCTGTAAAGTTAAAGATAATTTTAAGAACTTTCAGTGAAATAGAATAGTATGTGCTTCTGATAAAACTACTTCTTCTTACGTGTTTCGAATATCTCATTCATCTTTCGTTTCAATAAACAAGGTTTTAGTTTGTTAATGAAAAATACTACTCCATGATGGCAAGCTTTTCTTTGAAGTTTAGTGAAGTTCTTTCAATCTCAGGCCTGAATGGAACCGGACATTCAAATGAGATGGTTCAAAAAACAGTAGTTAACCTGAAGACTTTACTTTCTAAAGTGCTGTTCGACAATGAATTTGTTGTGGACTTCTGTCAACGTCCGTCAACTTTGTATTATTATCTAAATTTCTGTTCAAATTACAATTGTGAACAACTGGAACGATCTACGATGGAAAACAAAGCAGTTTCTTCTTTGATGGTTTTTTCTTTCGGAATCCATTCCGCTTTTCTGATTCGTTTTATGAAAAATCCAAAAAGGTATGTTACTGACTTATCTTCAGAAACATGGACTAATCAATGTTTTTGAATCAAATTTCAATTTGTAACGTTATTTTCCTTCATAGATTCCTTTCTCACACAACAAATCAATATATTTTTATATCACACATCAAAAACTATACAAACCTGCAAGTAGAACATTTTCAGTGTAACTGCATGTTCTGCATCGTTAAGTAAAATTGTATTTATGATATTTCTATCGAAGGTACAACAACCTTTATATGGTACATCAAGAACCGTCAGCGGACCACAACTACTCTAAAACAAAGATATTTCAGCCAGTTTTAGAAGACTACAGTATACTTTTGATAGCATTCATCTTATTGGGAAACTACTGAAAAAGTTATGAGCCCGCAAAATTGTGAATGCAAATGAAAATCTGTTGTATAGTAGTGAAAAGAAGTTTGAATAAGAGAAAACCGGAATTGACGAGTGATTGCTGACGGCAGTGATCGACAGAACTATCTGAGAGACAAGCGAAACGAAGGACCCGCATGGTGTGGTGGTGAACGCGTTAGCCCCAGGAAAGGACAACAGCGCGTTCGTTCCCCACCGCAGACACCTGCGGTCCGAAGCTTTGCAAATATCTCAGCATCATTGTGGTTGTTTCACAAATAATACCCTGCTGTGAAAACTTGTAAAAAAAAGCAGCAAATGAAAAGTGAATATTGTGAAAACAGGAATTCGTAATGAAAATACTGTCACGACCGACTTTCTATTAACCTCGGCATTGATCAAGTGATTTTCTTCGTATTTTTGTTGAGCAAACGCGAGGTGTTACTATTCTTTGTTCACGATTAAGCTGACGTTTCGGCGGATTTCGCCTTCTTCAGAGCCTGGAAAGGTCAAGTTGATAGCTATTCACTCGGCCAGACGCCTCCATAACCAAACAAAGAAACTCCAAACCAAGATTTAAATCACATCGAACACAGCTTTGCACACTCACCGCTTTCTATGAGGTTTCCATTAAGTATGTCGCGTAGAGACCAACCGCACAGAAATCACATGGAAGCATAATGTGCTCCTCCCATCAGAATAGGAGTCTTATATACTGCCCTATATCACGCGTGATAATGAGGCATTCATCCCTGCGGTTCATTTTCGGATTTCTGGAATTAATCCAGAGTGCCCCGAGAGTTTTTCGCGCCTGTGTTCTTGATTCGCGTGCAAGGATCGTGACACATACTTCGAAGTCGTCCCCGTTATCTCTCTGGGTCCTATGCGTGCCTAGCGGGGTATTTGGTCTATT